GTAGGTATGTATGTATGTATGTATGTATGTATGTATGTATGTATGTATGTATGTATGTATGTATGTATGTATGTATGTATGTATGTTGACTTCATAGCTTTGTTCCTCATTATTGGCTTCCCTATGAGGCTACCGAACTTGCTCAGACCAGAGAGACTCCAATATCCCATATCCAAATCCCGGAATTGCACCCATATTGGAATATCCTTGAGTTCATTAAAGATCAACTTTCCCCGGTTTCCACTTCTGGACCAGCACATGCTTGTTGTCAAAGTAGTACCTCCTGTCAATGACTTCCTCCTTGTCCTCTTCCTTTTGGAACGTTTCAGTAAACTGTCCTTTGACTTCATCAATAGGATACTGTTTTTAGCTCCCAAAATACAGAAGATTAAGGAAGAATCCTAGTACCTGGATGGTTCAATAATGTCTTCCTAGCTAAATTTGCCACCTTAGTTCCGTTGATCTCCACTGCTTCAACAAATTTCAGATTCATTTCCAGTGACTCTTGCTTGCCCACTACTTCCACATACGATTCGGGCACAGGACTTTTATCCAAGCAGCGATCCCCAATCTTTGATTCATTTCTTGTGTTCAGAGTAACCAGAGCTGGATCGGTCGTGATTGAGATCTTCTTTGGATCAGATTGAGGAGTGAGTGGATTGCTCCCAGATGCAGACTCCTCTGATTTCTTATTGCCAATATCATGCTTCCTTGCTGAATTGTGCAGGTTGAGAATCCTGAATCATTCAATGGCCTTCCTTTCTTCTGTGCCATTGCTGAAGGAGAGAAAAATGCTCTGTAAATATGTTTATTATTAAGTGAACTTTATCATGCATTTTTTTAATTTCAAACTGATTTTTCCAGAATCAAGGGAAAGATATTGCAGACAGCGAGTTGCTTGACTATATTTCAGAATCAAGCACAATGAGCAAGTCTTTAGCTGATTATGGTGAACAGAAGTCATGTGCAGTGACCACAGCGAAACGTCTTGCGGATTTTCTTGGGGATGCAATGGTGAAAGATAAAGGATTGCGTTGCCAATATATAGTCGCATGTGAGCCAAAAGTAAGCATATATCTTTGTCTTGTTGATTTTTTACATTCAATCTTAAACATTGTAAATTTTTATATTCAAAGCTTAAATCTAGGTTGCTAGTGTTTAAATCTTTGGTTAGCTATTTACACAGATTTCGAATATGAAACTTTTTGGGATTCTTCTTCAACACTGAATTATGGTAGTTATCTTCAATAAAAATCATCAAAGGTATTAAGACAAGAACACATGTTTATTTCAATGTCTATTCCCAATAAGTTCTTCAGTTTGTCTTCTCATGGTTAACTGCACGTCTGCACCGGTATATGTATGTGTGTGTGTGTACATATGTGTACTTATATTTCTTGTTTTGTAAAATAATTGGTTTCTATGTGTTGCACATCATTAACATCAATTGCTGCAGACATTTTAATCTTTTAATGCTCCTCAATTAGCGGCTGGTCTTACAGTTTTGGTTTTCTAACTCCTTTACTTTGGATTTACAGTTTAACCTTGATAGTGTTGCTGATTTTTGTTTCTTTTAAGGGTCAGAGTTATTATGAGCTAATTATGTGTTTCCTTCTTCCTGAAATGAAGTGTACAGGTTGACTTCATAGAGTTTAAGGAAAGTGTTAAAAGTAAAACAATGTACGGTTGAAATTTGTCTGAGAGTGAGAAAAATGCTGTGATCCATATATTCCTTTCCTTAAGGAAGTGTAAACTTTATTTTGGGACATCCCAACAAGAAAAATGTAAACTTCAATTTGGGATTAAGGGAGTATAAGTTATCTGTGGTCATACCCGTGTGTTCTTGCAATATGAAACTGTCAGCATTTAAGCATTGTGCATCGTTTGAAGTCTACATTTCTACACACTTTTGCAACAACTAAGTGTTAATCTAAATCATCACGGTCGGTGATATGGACCAATAAATAATATTCTATATTCAACAATAAAAACAGAAACCTACCCAGTGGAGTCCCACAAGTGGGGCTGGAGGGGGACTATCCAAACATTACCCCTACCTATAAAGGTAGATAGGTTGTTTCCAAAAGACAATACTCCCTCCGTCCCTAAATTAAAATCACTCTTTGACTTTTCGGAGTTTAAGAAAAGTATTAAGAAGTAAAAAGTGGGTGGTGAGAATTTATTTAGAAGAGAAAAACCGTGAGCCACATATTCTTTTCCTTGAAGGGAAACTTGAGAACTGTGATTTTAATTTTGAGACGCTGAAATTGGAAAGCATGACTTTAATATAGGGACAAATGGAGAAAATATTTTCCTGGGATCATCTACTAATATCTTCTTCCCACTCTTTTCCTTTATGCTCCATGTGCTCATGAAGTCTAATGTCTTAATGCCTTAATGCCTTCTTTACATGTTCTTCTGTCTTCATCTCCTCTTTAGGTCTATAGCATTTCAGGAGTACCACGTCTGCAACGTAGTAAATTCTCCCCTACCCTATCTTTTATTAGCACCATTTTCATCCAAATCCCCTCATTGCAAACATTTTCTTTTCTAGTCTTTCTAAACATGTATCCTACAGAAACATATTTGCCACATTTTCTTCATTACGTTCCACATAATAATGCCAGTTTGATACTATGATGATAGTCTTTGAAAAGATTCTCTTTACTCTTAGAAGTAACCATGTAGTATTCATGTTGCTCTTCTCAATGTTAAACAATTTGCATTGATCCTATGTGTTTCATTCTTATCAATATATCTATTTTTCTATAGAAATTGATCTCAAATACTAGAAATATTCTCTTCTCGATACCCTCTTCCAATCTCCAGGAGGTCTGTTTTTTCTAATTTCTTGAACATATTCTAAACTCTCGCAATTCCAACTGTGAGATATTCTATTACTGTTATGATACACAACTTGTTTAGCTCCTCTACTTTGTCTTTGTGCCCTATAAATGGGAAGCGTAGTGCATAGAAGCTTCTGTATATGCAAGGGCGAGGATGGGTCAGACATTATCAACATATATCGTCTTACCTTATATTTATGAAGAGACTGATCCTATGATTTGAATTAGTCACATGGAGAAACATTTCAACAGTGCTCCTAATGGGTCTGACCTTCAACATATATAAAGAAAAATAGTTGTATACTCCCTCCGTCCCATTAGGCCATCTCCAATGGGATGCCCAAAAGAGATGCTAGGAGGAGAGAGAGTGAGATGTTGATGGATGCTACTATTGTAGATAGATGCCCAATAAAGATGCTCAAAGAGAAAAATGAAAGGAAGATGCTTGGTCTAGCACCCGATGCTCGAGGAAGGAAGAATTGAGGCATTTGTTTTTTAAGTATTGTGGTCCAATATGTATGTGCCACGTGTCATAATTATTATTTTTTCAATTTGAAAGTTTGCATTTAGGGTCTGTTTGGTACACGGAATTGATGGAATGGAATTGAATTAGAATTAAAATTTCATGGGATTCAATTCCATAGAACTAAATTCATCAATTCCAATTCATTTTTTGCACTACCAATTTCAAATCCACATAATTTTTGTGCTACCAAACACAAGAGTTGGAATTGAAGTTCTCAATTCCAATTTCATAGTTTGAATTCCGTGTACCAAACGGGGCCTTATAGTTTTTTTGAAGGCTCGAAAGTGTTTTTTATTAAATTAGATTTGGCACCTTCAAAAAATTAGATATGACAATGTTCTAGAATTCAAACTCTTTTATAACGGAATGACTATTTTTTTATTTATTTCGAAAATTTTCTTAAGTATTTGTTTTTCTGTTTGTTTTGAAACAATATTAACTACATCATATATTAATTACATAAAAAACATTTTAAAATATTTTACAACATAAATCTAAGAAATTTAATTTTGTATCAAAATCTAATATAAGTTTTATTTAATTAAAGACCAAATTTTATTAATTTAAATGTAAAAAGTCAAAATTAGATATATATTCTAGGACAAATGTAATATTAATAATAACGAGTAAATAATTAATCTTAATTAAAAAATTATCATATAACAAATACTTATAATTAAGAAAATAAAATATAATTATATTTATATGGACCCACTGCATTCATTAAATAAAATGAGGCATCCATATGAGATGCCACTATTGAAAGATTTAGATGTTGAGAGAGGTGCTCAATTGGCATTTTAAAAGTAAAGTTCATACTTCAACATCTAGTGAGGGATGCTACCATTGTGGATGCTCTTAGAAAGTTTACACTTTTTTTGTTTGATCCATTAGAAAGTTTACACTTTTTTTTTGTTTGATCCATTAGAAAGTTTACATTTCCTTTTTTACTTCTACTTCATATCACATCAAACGAATATCCCATCCCCAAATTCAAACCACCCCTTTTTAGTCCTTCTACTTTATACCCAAGTTATTTTCTCTTTGTTAACTATCTAATGGGAAGGAGGGAAGATGTAATCATGATCATCATTATGCTATGAGCATAAGTCCTAGTGAGAACCACACCCCAAAAGCTAGCTGTTGCTAGCTGTTGAGGTAGGAGAGCCCAAGCCTTATATGGCCTTTGCTTTTAACCCTTCTTAAGTGTGACTCATAAGTTGTAACACATTATCAGCTTAATGCCAACTATATTAGGGTAAGTTACATGCATTTAATGCTGATGGATTATCTGATCTTTTGCCTCTCTCTCTTCAGTTTTTCGTCTTTATATTGTTTATAATTCTTAAGTTTAATGGAGAGCTTACTTGATCAGGGAGCTCCAGTTAGTGAGCGGGCTGTTCCGGTTGCAATATTTGAAACTAATGCTGGTAATCTCTTGCTTTCAGCCTTTCACTTAGTGGGATGCATTATTTCAGCCTATTTGTAATTGTTTAAATTCTTTTGCCCTTGATATTTCAGAAATTATGAAGTTTTATATAAAAAAGTGGTGCAAAATATCATCAGATGCCGGGATCCGCTCTATTATTGATTGGTCGTACTATAAGCAAAGACTTGGTTCAGCAATCCAAAAGATAATCACTATCCCTGCTGCAATGCAGAAGGTCTAGACCTTTATAATTGTTTATTGATTATTATTATTATTTGATTTTTTAAAACAAAGTTGAGGGATTTTTCAGGTTTTAAATCCTGTCCCAAGGGTGGCTCATCCTGATTGGCTACATAAAAAGGTCCGTGAAAAGGAAGACAAGTTTCGTCAAAAAAAGTTGAATGATATCTTTGGTCCAATGAACAAAGATAACACATCCAAGCTGAATACAGATTCTACTACAAGTGAGGAAGCTGAGCAGCATGTTGAAGATTTAGAGGACTTCTGGAAGAATAGGAAATCTTCTGTGGTTGTACCTAGGCCTATTGTTCATTCCCATGGAGTGAACAAGGATAATGATCTAGTCAAAACTAGTGGTCAAGTAGACTGTGCACTCAATGAACCTGGCACCTGTGAAAAAGATATTGACAAGAATGTGGATTACCAAGGATGGCTACAATCAAAGAAGAGAAAATGGAAGCAAATGCGTGACAATAGAAAACGACAACGGTACATTATCTATTGGTTGTACTCATTTATAATTGGAGACTTATAAAATGGAAACACTATTCTTTTTTGTTATTGTGATGTTTCTTTTCAAAATTTAAAACATAGGTCTTATCATAAAAGCCAGTTTACCAAATAGGTCTCTAAACAAAAAATATAAAAGAATATCTGCAGATAGTCGTTGAAAGGGACTGCCAAACCAGTACTAAAGAGTTGATGACACCCAACCCTAGCTACTGTTTTGCCTTTCATATGCGGCACTTGTCCAGAGCAGTTCCATTATATAGTATAAGAAAATATTTTAATCATCACTTTCTCTCCGAATGAAGCTATAATCTAATGTATGGATTCCTTAACCAAATTGCAATACTGCCATATCTTGGCCCCTTCCTTTATTTTTCTGTACTCCCTGAGTATGTTTTTCACCAATTTAAAATTTTGTTTTTCGGCTCATTTGTACCATTTTTATCCTGCTAGGATTGATAACTCAAAGATGTCAAACCACCTTAAAGGCGGTGCTGGACTTCTTGGTGACACAGTAGACCACAGACAATACCAGGGTAGAACTGGGGTCTCGTCATACTTTGAGAGGCACGGATTAGCTCTTACACGCTCTCACTGGCAGGTATTATAGTCCTTGTGCATTTCATAGACTATGTGATCTATTCAGTTTTTAAAACTGCATAGCCAACACCTACGACCTTTCTTCTTTTTTCCACTCTCTAGATTGTTCAGCTTGCACCAACATCTCAGCATGGACAACTTACTGCATGGGTTGTTGTGGAAGGAGTTATGCATAAAATTTCCATTAATATCCCCAGAAAATTTTATCTTAACTCTAAAGCTTCTATCACAGAGGAGTTTCCAGGGCGACGTGTCAATAAAATCCTTCCTCATGGACGCCGTAGCCACACCTTGATTGAGGTCATCTACCATTCTACCTCAATATTTATTTACTGTGTGGAGATGCCGTGGCTCCAATTTTATATATTTCATTTGTCTAGGTCATAACTGATGAAGATCAATTCAGGGCAGAAAGCAAGAAACTAGCAGCTCACCTTGCTGATCCTGAAGTGGAGGTCAGGAGTCAAGTGGATATACTTTGAAATCATTGAATTTCTTAAGTGTACATGCTATATAAATTCATCACCATTTTCCGTGCTTAATTGTTGCAACTTGCTAAGCCACAGCATCACCTAAAGTTCATACATTATGTCATTTTCTGTGTTCCATTTATGTGTGGTAAAAGTTTTTGGTTTTTTTTGATATGAGAGGTTATCGTTTTGATGTTAAAATTCATTATAAATATATTACTTTGAGCAGGTNTTCAATGGCAATGTTCTTTTAGTGAAATTCTACTTGGTTGATTATTTCAGGGGATCTATGAGACAAAAGTCCCATTGGAGTTCAATGCTGTTGTTCAGATTGGCTGTGTTTGTAAGGTGGATAAAGCATCTAAAAAACGGAGTGCCCAAGATGACTGGAGTCTCTCTGAACTGGAGATGAAGACCACGACCGAGTGCCCATATTTGGAGCAATCAATCTCTTTCTTCTACTTGTATCATAGGTGAAGTATGCCATGCTTTTATTATATGGATTGATCATTATACTAATTTTATTTGTGAGAACTTCTGATAGTGGCCTCAGCATACACCGTATCCGAAAATCACAAGGAAGCAATTGATTTAGAAAATTAAGTGGGCTGCTTCTCCAAAAAATACATGGTTACTTTTGTGTCAAATTCAAACTGAATTTGGTTGTTCTATCAAAATCTTGCCAAAGATTGTTTTACCGACTCTTATAATTGATCAATGGTTACCCAAGGAATGATCCATCAATGAATTTGCACCCACAGCTCAACAAAATGTTGTTGTTGAGCGTACAATTCACCATTTAGTGGTGCCCTACACTAATTGAATTCTCACACACCACCTCAAAACTGGACTGGTGCCACTCTCACTGCTTGTCCACTCATTTGTCCAATGCCTTCTTTTATTCTTCAAAATCAAGTTTCGTGTTCCATCCTTTTCCCTACCCCTCTATTATTACCCTTTGCCACCTCATATCTTTGGATGTGCTTGTTTCGTTCATGATAAAACACGGCGATGTCCTAAAATATCTCCCAGATCTATTTAACACATCTATCTTGGATTTCCAAGAATAAAACAAGGTTATCATTTCTATTCTCGAATGTTGAACGTACATTTTGTTTCAATCAGTGTGACCTTTAATGAAGGTAGGGAATCAATTTTGCTACACATATTCCATTGATTCGTGTGGTTTTGTTCCACATCTCCAACCCACCACCTGTAAAGTCCAACATAAAGTGCTACCTCAGTACCACTTGTAGTATCATCGCCTGCCTCTCAGCTTGCTATTCCTCACACATGCTCATCCTTTATAAGTTCATCATTTTTGACCTTGCCCTGCCAAAAATTATATTTTTGATGTTGCCTCCACATTAGATCCAACATCACAACATCGCAGGATGTCCAAGAGGAAGTCCTTTGGTGCATGCTCTTTGCTGACAATATTGTACTGATCGACGAAACTCGTGCAGGACTCGATGAGAATAGAGGATTCAGACTTAGCAGGACTAAGTCTGAGTATTTGGAGTGTTGCTTTAGTGATCTGGTGACGAATTCGGAAGTTGGGATTGATTCACATCTAGCGCTTAAGAGGGATAATTTTCGGTATCTTGGTTCGATCATCAAGGAAGATGGGGAAATATACGGGGATGCTATTCACCGTATTGGAGCCGCTTGGGCTAAGTGGAAGCTAGCTTAAGGGGTCCTGTGCGATAAGAAGATTTTAGCAAGGATGAAAGGAAAGTTCTATTAGTCACGCCGGCTATGCTTTAAGGAGCGAAGTGTTGGGCCATTAAGAAGGCCCATGTTCGTCAGCAGAGGTGCGAATACTGAGGTGGATGTGTGGGCAGATGAGGTTGGATAGGATTCAGAATGAGGTTATCCGGAGACGGGTGGGTGTGGCTCCTGTGGAGGATTAGTTTCGAGAGGCCAGGATGATATGGTTTGGTCACAATAATCGGCGCAGCATTGAGGCCCCGGTGCGGAGATAAGAGAGACTTAAGTGGGTGGGGTGGAGGGAGGGGTAGAGACCCAGGAAGAGTTGGAAAGAAGTGATCAAGCTTGACTTAGGACTTCTAGTTCTTATCGAGGATATGAACTTAGATAGGAGCGTCTCGAGATCTAGGACTAGGATAGTTGGGTAGTACCTTGAACCAGGATCCTTTTGCTGCAGTTGTTTGTGTGTTTTTGTCTCTATGTACCTTTCTTGACATCAATTGCTATTTGTTTTCTTGCATGATATTTGCTTTCCTCCTGTCTGAGCTAGGGGTCTCTTGGAAACAACATTTCTACTTTCGAGTAGGGGTAAGGTCTGTGTACACACACCCTCCCCAAACCTTACTTTTGTGGGGTTCTACTGGATATTATTGTTGTTGTAGTGTCACACCGCTCTTATGTATATACACCAAGTCCGTCTCTGATGCACTTTCACTTCAAGAGTGGCTTTAGGCTATGTTGATCAAGATGGATTATCTTCATTATAGTGGCATATGGGATTTGGTTCCTCTTCCTCATGATAAGTTTGTTAGAAATATATAAATTTTTAAAAAAATTGTTATGAAATTCAAATTCCATTTTGTCATTTTATCAAATTGTTGCCAAATACTTTGTACCCACACTTGTAATCAATTCACGATAGGCTAATGAATGCTTTATCAAAATGTTGTTGATGAGCGTAAAGTTCATCATTTAGTTGACTATGTCTACACTTATATAATGCTCATAGACAATCACAGAGCTATACAAATGCCATTCGCACCGCGTGTGCACTTCCTAAACTCTCATAATGAAATATATTTGTAACCAACTTAGAGCATATGATTTATACATTCCAACTTGACGAGTGTGGCATTTTGTAGACCAAATTTGTTCTTGACTTACATCACATATGTCATAAGATATGACATAATAACATGTGCTATCCTAACACTTGTATCCCTTTAAATAGGCTTGTATTAAATATTTGTAAGAAGGAAAATATAGTACATATATGCTCCTCTATCGTAGAGTATTAGTCTAGTTTCCTTTTTTGCGGTCAAACTAGACAAATTTTAATTATCAATTAAATAAATGTTTTATTGCATATCAATACAAAAATTATCTCATTTGAAAATTGATTTCATTAGATTTGTCTTACAAAGAAATATCAAAATATTACTTCCTTTGTCCCGCAATAATGTTCTACATTTCTTTATTCATCTGTTTCAAAAAAAGGTTCCACTTTTGAAAAAGTTTTTGTGTCGATTATAATTTGTCTCCTCTGCACCACTTTCAACCACACAATTGAACTTTTCTTAACGCGTGTGATCAATTATGGAGCATTATTATGGGAGAAAAGAAGTATTTTATTTTATCATTATGTATTGTAATTTTTATTTATTTGATGATCAAAGTTTGCCCAGGTTGACCACAAAAAGTCAAACTGGACAAATATGCTGCAACCTTGGTTATTTCTTGGTTTTTTTGGTATTTTCTTGGTTTAAATATAAATAAATGGTGAGAGCATTTTTGTTAGCCAATCCCGAGTGACTTGGAATAAGGCTTAGTTGTTGTAAATTTATTTTCTTGATTTGTCTTTGCCTCTCGACCTTTCCTAGGTAGGGGTAAAGTCTTTAGACGTGCACCCTCATACCCCACTTCTAGATAGGTTGTTGATTGCTCTAAGATAGAATCTTTTAAGAGCTTGTTGATATTTAGTTTGATGAACAAATGCAAATGCATCCCCATGTTTCGTAACATAAGATATTCCCTATGTACAAACTCCTTATTTACCCTTTTCTTGCTCTAAGCCATCTAATGGAGAATGCTATGAGTTTGAGCGCTTTTATTAGCACTAGCAAAATTGCAAGTCTTGTTTTGTACCATCTTTCTATGTTATGCAAATCCCTTCTTAAATAAACAACAAACCCTGTATAATCCTAACCCCGTTAGGGTGTGGGTTTTGGGGGGGGGGGAGTCAAGAATTCAAGATGTACGAAACCTCACCCATTCCAAGGCCATAGGTTGTTTTTGTTAGACCCTTGATGCATTCACTCCCCTAAAACTTCATACAAAGCAAGAAGTAAAGGAAGTTTGTTTGGCCATTTAGAACTCATCTATTAGTTGTGTGAAGCTAAAGGAAACAGTCTCCAAACTCTGTTGAATAAGGATAAGGTTTGCGTACCTCTACCTTCCCCACACCCCACTTGTGGGATTTGCTGGGTTGTATTTACTTGAAGGTATACCAATGTCAAAATGCCTCTTTTAGCTCCATTGACAATGGACACATGGATCAATTTTTTTTTTTTTGCAAATCTAAGTTGATAAGTAAATCTCCTACTTAAACAGACATGGAACTTTTTCTTTTTTACCAAAACAATTCTAAGCCAATTATATTTAAATCCTAAATTGATCATTTTTGAGTCTCCAACATGCAATATGTGACATAAAAAGTTGAGTTTAGTACATTTGGAAATTGCTAAGATAAAATTTTAATCTTGGTTATCTATAGAATGCACTTTAGGTGATCATTGATGTTAGCATATTGGTGCTGCTGTTCATCACCATTCCGTGTTTTTTGTTATAAATTTGCATCTGTAGAGTTTTTAGTTCTGATTTCATGTAAATCTTTTCAGTGTGTCAGAGGGAAGAGCTGTATATGTTGGTTATTTTCCTGCATCCAAGATGATTTCTGTTGTGGTTGTTAACCCTTTTCAAAACAAGGAATTAACATCACATGTACTTGAAAGACAATTCCGTGAGGCTTGCCAAACATTGTCTAGTCATCCTATGATGGAAAAGGATGGTATCGGTTTCAAGGTGAGTTTGTTTTTTTAGCGATGGCAAGTAGCCGCACTCTTCTTATTGCAATCTTTGCAGCAAATTTAAAAACCTCTACATTGCCTTTACAAGTCGCTTTTCTAGGTTGAATATGTTGGGCATATCAAGGATGCTGAAAGGAACATGCAGAGATTGATTAATGATTACAGGTTAGAAACTTATCATCATCACCACAATATGGGCATAGGTCTCAAATACTCTTACTTTAGTCCGACTTCCTAGTCCACACGCGTAATTAAGATTTAATACTCCCTCCGTTCCAAAAGAAATTTACAGCTACTATTACATGGTCAAACTATATCTTCTTTCCTTGCATATTTTCATTGATCATTTGTTAAAATAAATTAGTCAAATCACCTATTGTTTTGTAGAACTTTTGATGTTACTCCCTCCGTCCTAAAACTTTCTTCCCAGAGCACTATTCCAACTTCACGGGAATTTATATTTATTTGTGTTTTTTCATGGCCTATATGATAACATAAAATATTCTTGTCACCACTTGTTTTGTTGAACTTTTGATGTAGTTTTTAAATATGTATGTTTTATTTTTTATTTCTATACCAATATTTAAATAAAATAGATTGAAAAAACTTAGGATTTTTCTTCGTTTTGCGCAACGGGAAGAAAGATATAGGACGGAGGGAGTATTTTTTTTAAATTTTACACAAATATGTATTTAAATTGAATTGAAAATAACTTTAGTCAAGTATCTTAAATTGAAATGTAAATTTCTTTCGGGGACGGAGGGAGTATTTTTTAATATTTAGTTCTTACATTAAACCTTCATGCATTTGGTATGGTTTTGGATAAAAGTATGATGCATATGAGTGTTACTGCCAGAAATCAGCATCATGGACCCGTAGTCACTATAATTGAATGTCCCAATGTAGAGCTTTTCAAGTCTGGTATACGAGCTTTGGATGATTTCCCTTGTTTGTCTATTCCTTGCAATGCTCGCGATAGTCAATATCAGGTAATTTATGTTCTGATTGTGTGCTGAAGCAGCAGTTTCTTTTCCATATTAAGCCCTATGTCCATACGACTGTAATTGTTGACACATTATTGTTCAGGCTCTTGGTTGGCAAATTGTTGCTGCAAAAATTGGAATGCAACGATGTGCAGCATCGACTCAGTGGTTGAATGAGAGAATTGCCCTCTCAAGATATGCTCATGTATAGTTTCTTTTATGTTCAATTGGCAATTCTCTTCATTGTGTACATTATAATCATATTTGCATATATCAAAGTTCTTAACACCAATATTGGGTCAGATTCCACTAGGAAATTTTGAAGTTGACTGGCTAATCCATACAGCAGACGTCTTCTTTTCTAGAGCTCTCCGTGATCAACAACAGGTTCTCCCATGCTAACTAACAATTGGTTACTACTTGATTCTGGTTACTCTAGAAATGCAAATTGTTTGTCTGTTATATTAGAGCTGTATACTCTCTCCTTCCCCCAAAAAAGTCTGATTTAAAGACTTATTCTTATTTTAACTAGAGTGTTAAAGAGTATCCCACATCGGAAAAGTGTAAGCAAAATAATGGGTATATAAGCTCTTGAGTTGAACTAAGTAATCGATTGGATTCAATCTTTTAATGTGGTTTAACCCAATTTGTCTTACTACCTAACCCAGTTGTCCATACCCATCCTAAATTCTATCATGGTATCGGAGCAAGTTTTGTCCCACCTCGTTTGTCAAGGTGTCTGTCTACACGTTCATTACTAGCGGCCCATTTGTCTTTAGCCCAGTTGTCCGTATGGAGTATGACGGCCTGTGGCATGTTTAACTCGATTGCTCGTCTGGAACATACCCAGGGGCTCGTGGTCCTTTAGGTGTTGGCGCTTAAAAAAACAAGGGGATGGGGTCCATTTGCAAGTGGTCAACCGGTTAGATTCAAAATGGCCCGGTCGTCCACTTGAGGGGGAGTGTTAAAGAGTATCCCACATCGGAAAAGTGTGAGGAAAATAATGGGTATATAAGCTCTTGAGTTGAACTAAGTAATCAATTGGATTCAATCTTTTAATGTGGTTTAACCCAAGTGTCTTACTACCTAATCCAGTTGTCCATACCCATCCTAAATTCTATCATAGAGAAACTAATTTTACATCATATTTGTTGTTTTTTCAAAGAAAAACGTGGCCCACACAAGTTGAGTGTTATGAATTAAATTAAACAAACAAATTAATATTGCTATTTTGTTATGATTTTTAATTGCCGTGTTTATGTCAATTATGGCTCTTTTTTATGGGACTTGGGAAGTATAAATTCCTTATATTGATGTAAAACATATGACCATTTCTCTTTGCCTCGAAAATGTGATGTGATCTGAATGTTCTAAGATTGCTTTGAATAAGTAATAAGCAAAAAAGAAAAGAAAGTGAAGAGGGCACCGCCTTAGTCCTCAAGGGATTTTGTAATCACATTGCAGTTGCAGCTATCATGTTTTAACTAGTTAGTGTTTTCTCTGAACTCCCAAACTTCTTGAGTTTTTCTATTTTAGTTTTTTAGAACCTTATCTCCTGTTCTCTTTTTGATAAAAAGACATGTGTTGAGAATGAAAGTTAAGCTACTACTATTTTACTAACAAGATTTAACAAGCAAGGCCCCAAGTTTGTCTGGTTATTATGCATCCTTATTCCTTGAAAGATTTGCCACATCTTTAGTCTTTAAATATGCTGAAGACAATCTCATCCCATACCTAATTGAGTTTTATGTGATGATGAATTCCTCTTATTTCTTTTAGTGTCATCTTTGACTAATTTATATAGATAAAATCTGCTAAATTTTGTAGATCCTTTGGATATCTGATTACGGCATCCCCGATTTGGGAGGCACACTTGAGGAAGCATCATCTTTCATGGATGAGGTTAAATTTATGAAACTTTCTGATGATTTCATTTTCAGTCACAGTTTTTTTTTTTTCTCTTCATTTGTTTTTCTTCCAAGCCTTCTGTAACTTTCCCGTGCTAACTGGAGATTTTCCCAAGTAGGTCAATCAGCCAGTTCTTATTTACCCCGGTGCATACAGAAAAGTAGCTATTGAGCTTAAGGTTCCATTTTTTCTTGTTTTATTTTAGCAAATGACATTTACTACACTACATATTTCACACTGATTCAGGTTTACTGTTTAGTGTTCTCATTAACTGTACTACTATAACCAGCTTCATCACCTGGCTGTCAATGCTCTTCTGAAAAGCAATCAAGTGAATGAAATGGAAGGAGGAACTTTATTTGGCTTTGAGCACGATTTGAATCCAGATACAAATGTTGCTGACGAGCATTACTACTTGGACGAGACTACCTCTTGTGCACCAGCATTTCGTGTCCTCAAACAATTGATCCAAAGGTGTCTTGCAGACGCAGTTACGTCCGGAAACATGTTTGCAGATGCAATATTGCAACATATGTACCGATGGCTCTGCAGGTTAACCTACTTCTATGTATAAGACTATCAGTACACTGCATGGGTAGGATAATTCTAACCAATGGGCATTATGCCAAATTTCCCTCAAATGTAATTCTGTTTCAAATGTGTTGAATTGTTTATGTTCTACCTGCTATATAATGTTCTTATAGGCACCTTATTGGATTGATAGTTTGTTTGGAGGGGGTGCTGGTTTGCTGTCTTCCATTTGTAATTTGGTATTACTATACCATATTCATTTCATGCAACAAGTGTGACTTGTTAACACTTTTTTTCCTGGGTGGGGATGAGGGTGTTGGTGCTTTTCCTGCAATCGGTACACTAAAAAAACTGGTGCAACAAATGAGTTGCTGGATGTAAAAAGCAAGAATACCTCTCTTTCAACCTTTACCTTAAAATTTATGAGCAAAGTCTACAATTGACAACTTTGATGATCACTCTTAACCACCACTTTGAGTATATTCTGTGGGGTGGACAAACCATGGTGGACTAAGGCCATAATACATGTTCCATCTTCTACATGTTAGATTATCTTTTTGTCTGAGTATAACTTTTTCTTGGATATGTTGCAGCCCCCAGTCTAAACTGCATGACTCAGCATTACACAACATGCTTTACAAGGTAAATTAAAGCTCAAGCGAATTTGAGAGCTGTTTACACAAGAAAAGACAAAAACTTCTTTTTTTTTCTCTTTTTGCCTACATTTCACTAAAAGAGCTTTCTTGGTTTACCTCATGAAATTTCGCATGTTCACTACTGATTAGCTATAAATATCCTCATGTACATGCAAGGTCAACTTAATTTCTCGTTTCATAATAACTTTTAGGTTATGCAAAAAGTGTTTGCAATGCTTGTGGCTGAAATCCGTAAGTTAGGTGCTACAATCATATTTGCTAGCTTCTCAAAGATTATAGTCAACACTGGAAAGTCGGATCTATCTGCAGCCAAAGCTTATTGTGATAGTGTTATCAAAACTCTGCAGACAAGGTTTTGTTCTTTACCCACATTTAGAAAGACTTGAGCAAAAAGATTATTCTATTTTGACCTTTATTTACTCTCTATTTGATACTTTCTCCATCCTAAAAAAATGGCTCCTCAATTGACTGGACCAAAGATTAAAAAAGGTGAATTTTTGTGGTTTACATTTATGCACAAGGGAGGGAGGGACCTTTTTTGGGACACAAAAAGGCAAAGTAGAACCTTTTCTAGGAAAGAGGGAGCTTATGTAACTTCAGTGGTTGCATAATGCATATGGGCTGCTGCAGTGGGAAAGTTATTCAGGATGATGATGGCAATCACATGCATCTTTCTTGATTGCAGAGTAATAACAATTTATCATGGATTGCTAATGGAGTGTGAGATTGGTTACCATTCAGTTGAGCTTGTGTATTCCCTTGTTGGTCAATATTGTTAACAATAGTCGGGGACAGATCTAGTTCAGTCTACATCTTATTTGCGCCATCAAAGAGTTGATGGGTTTTCATGTTCACTGTTAAATAAGTAGAAATGCTGATTGGTTAGCCACACACTTGGATAATCTAGATTTGGTTACATTTTCAGTGAGATACTCCGACTTGGGAACTACTCCGTATATTCTTGAAGGAAGACATTTGAATAGCTTTTCTTTTTTTCCTCTTCCTCGTGAACAAAAAGGCGTACCAGTGGCCCCTTCATTAAAAAAGGTGTTGTACTCCATATAACCAAAGGTTCAAGACACAAGCTGACGAATAGGTTAAGAGTCCTATAGCTTGCCCTTAGCTTTTGAAATATGACATTGTATGAATTGGCTGGGGCTTTAACTTTTGACCAGAGAGAATCTAGAAGTGGGAACACTGTAAAACAATTTTTTTGAGGCTATGTGATTGTACTCCCTCCGTTTGGAAAAACCCTTCCCATTTGATTTGGGGGCAAAAATAAGGAAGTGTTAAATTATAGTTGATTTCCAATTTTGCCCCTGATGTGATGGGTAAAAGTAAGATGTGATGGATAGATTATTAGAGAAAAAGTATGATGTGATAGGTAGGGTATGAAAAAGTAAGGGTAAAAGTGGTTTTTTAATAGAAAGGGGAAGTGTTTTGTTGGAAGTGAAAAAAATGAAAGAGGAAGTGTTTTTGAGAACGGAGGGAGTAGTATTTTTCGACAAGCATATATAAAGAGGGGTAAGAATCAAATAACTACATCAAATTGGATAGCATCCTGAATCTGCCAAGGTGGATCTGTGATCCACTCTAAACAATTAAATTTAGAATAACTCGAAGTGGGAACATTAAAAATAATTTTAGATAGAATGGAAACTAAGATCTGCAATCACTAACATCAACAGTGAAGCAATCCATCTCGTGTCATGTTCCTTTAGAACGTTTGAATAACAAGGAGGGAGAGGCTTCTGAAAACAATAACAAGATAAAAAATCGAAATAAGAGGCTCCCAGGAAGTAGAATATGTTTACAACACTAGCGGTGAACGACACGTGAGTAAACACCAATATCACATTGGTGGTCAGATCATTGTTGGAGAAGGCCGTGTAGAGTTGCCAAGGGGAAAGAAGCATACATGTGGTGTCATTGTCTATGGAAGACGCATGGATGGGGCAGATCAGGACAAATTGAAGTTGCTTGTGGATATTGGCCGTCGGCACATATGAGCTTGTGACTGAGCTTAGACAATATGGCTGTGTTGGGTTTTCAAATTTGACCGCTACTAGAGAATTATACTCATCCAGGAAACTATTCACAGTAGAAAATGATACTTTCGTGCTTAAAATGTATTTGCTCAGATACCATGTTGAAAATTTGAAGTATGGATGAAATTGAAAATTTAAAGTATGGATTAAATGTGGATAATTCTGAATCATGTAATATGACAAAAAGGGCATAAGACAAACATTTTCGGTCAGGGCAAAAAGGTAAGACTAGACAAAACATAATGCAAACATTTTATGTGCGAGGGATTTGAGCTGCAAAGTATACAAAGTGTAGTTGTATCTTAGTATATCAATAATTCCTTACCCACATATTGAAATACATCAACATACATTTTTTTTTTTTGCTTTTTTCGATATTTATTTAATTCTTTACTACATATTTTCTTTACTTGCTGTTCATGTTTTTCCACAGAGACTTATTTGAGTGGATTGAGCTTGAACCTTTGCAGTTCTGGCATTCCTTACTTTTTATGGATCAGGTGGGCATGGTGTGAATTCTTTTCAACTGTTCAGTTACATTTTCTAGACTTTCTCTTCCTCATTCATGATTCAATCTCTGAATGCTAGTAAGGCATATCATTCACACTGGTTCATTACGAAAAAGAGCAAGTCATGGTTTATACCAGAAGGATTTGAAAGGAGAAATGAAAAACTTGTATCTTAAAGTTTAATGTGTGATGGGATATTGGAGCAACTTTTAGGAATGGGAGAGTGTGTTTGCTATTTCTAGTTTTCCAGTATGTTTTTTCCATCAAACACAAATCTGAGTGTGGGTTGTGTTTTTGCCATTAGTAACTTGCTCTTTCACTTGAACATTTTTTATGACAGTACAACTATGGTGGAATTCAAGCAAAGTTTAATGATGATTCATTAGATGCTGATTCAGAACTAAGTTCAGGAAACATTAATGGAGATTCTCAAGTAGACATTATATCAAGCTGGAACATCGCAGAAAATTTGCCGAAGGAAATACAGGTAGAGTACTACTGATTTACTGGATAAACTACATTGCATCACGACTCTGGAGAAACGTTCCTTGTTTTGGAAACATTTGAGAAAATTCACACGGATATAATCGGTTCAACTTTCATTTAGGGTTCTGCCTAAAGCCGAGTCTTTCGTATGCGCAGGATCACTTCATTTTGATTGTTTCTGAATTTATGTATATTCCATGGAAGCATGCACAAGACCAAGCTGCTCAACAAGCATCCACAAAGAATGGAGATTCATGCACCCCATCAATCACAGCTGCCCTTGCAGAAATTCTTGATTTGCAGATGGCAGAAGATTTAAAGAAGAAGGTATATTGTCTGGATTTAAGTTAGTACTATGAGAATTAAATACCTAATTTTTAAATATCCAATTTACTTCTGTGCTAAGCTGTATGGTCATGTATTTTCAGATCCAAACTCACTTCACAGACAAACTTCTCAAAATTGTCTGTGATCCTAGTCTTCAGTTGAAGAGGGCTGGCAAATCCCAATGTGATGGAGAGAGTTTGAATGCAAGCTCACAACTTTTGAACAATAATACCCGGCAGGGAGATCTGGCACTAGAGTTCATTAAGCATGTCTCCGCTGTTTTGGCACTTGACCAGAATGTTCAGCATGAGGTTCTGGTAAGAGAATATATATCTCCCTTTGATTAATACTCCGCATATAGTCTGGATTGTGGTGGCATTAGACTTTGATGATCATTGATCCATGTTTGAAAATTGCTACTCTGTGTATGAGATGGTATCGTATTATTATGTTATTCAACAACACTTAATTAGCAATATGGACGTGTGTAGAATTAGATTTTCATCAATCCTTGATTATACTGACTAATGGGCTGCATTCTTGATAGTGTAAACTAACTTCGGTACAACAACCCAGTATAATCCCAACTCTGTTGAGGTCTAACGGGTCCTGAAGAAACAGAGAAGATGTTTCCGTTAGACCCTAGATGCATTGCTGTGTTTACATCTCAAAATCTCATAGAAAGTAAGAAGCCAAGGAAGTTTGATGTGTTATTTTGATTTCTTCCATTATATGCCCAACAACTAAAAAACTTTCATTTAGGACTCCATTTGCCCCATTGGCAATGGTCGGGGTGAAAACTAACTTCAGTGTCTCCAATAATTAAGGCTCTCATAGACTTTGGATAATTATTCCGTCCAGTTGTAATATGCCCGTGGCTCCTTCTAAGCTAATAGATGGACTGAACATTTGTCATTCATATAATATTATACTTCTCTGTCCCACCACTCCCACGTTTGACTTGGCATGGAGATTAAGAAAAGTACAATTGTATGGTTGAAAGTGGTATAGAGGAGAGAAATAATATGAACCACAAAAGCTTTTCAAAAAGTGGAATGGAACCTTTTTTTTGGGACAAGAGGAAAAAAATAACGTGAGACCTTTCGTGGGATGGAGGGAGTATATCTCAACAATTTTAACTCGTCTTTGAACTGACCATTTTTTGGCTTTGGGGTGTGATGGAATAAATCAAAATGGATCTCTAAACTATCTGCTCTTCTTTAATTAATGAAGTATCAGTTAGTCAAGCAATGCAACTTTCGACGTTGAGCCGGGGGTCTCTTTGGAAACAGCCTCTCTACTTTCGAGTAGGGGCAAGGTCTGCGTACACACACCCTCCCCAGACCCTACTCTTGTGGGATTTAACTGGGTTGTTGTTGTTGTTGTTGTTGTTGTCTTTGAACTGATATGTCTATCTTTTTTAAGAGATCATTTTGATTAACTTGATATGGTCACGCAATGCATGCAGGTCATGAGGAGAAATCTATTGAGACTGGTACGCGTGAAGGAATTTGCTCCAGAGGCCGAGTTTCGAAAACCGTCTCCTTCCTTTACCCTCCCAAATGTCATCTGCAGGTAATAAAAAAAAGCAAGAAAAGAAATACTTTTACTCTGAATCAAGCAAACAATTTTTTTTTTGTTTTTTTTAAAATAGTAAGTGATTGGATTGCTGAATATATATATGTATATGCTGGCTGGCAGTTACTGCAATGACTGTAGAGACCTTGA